GTGCTGTCATTGACAGTAAATTAACGTAATTATACTGTCAATGACAATTAATTAACGTAATTGTACTGCCGTTGACAATACATTTATATAATTGTGCTGCTGTTGACAGTAAATTAATGTAATATTATTATTTTTTATTTTTTGTTGTTTTTTTCATTTTGTTTGATTTGTTGACAAGTCAACGTAATTATATTGCTGTCGTTGACAGTAAAATAACTGTAAACACAATAATTTTACTGTCAACAACATCAATATTATTATTTTTTTGGGTTTTTTTTTTTTTGTTTGAGTTATTCACGGAGTAACGTAATAATATTACTATCTATTATTGTAATATTACTGTAAACACAATAATATTATTATGGTTGACGGTAATATTATTGTTGTTATAATAATATTGCTAACAACCACATCAATATTATTATTTTGTTTGGATTTTTTGTTTGTTTGAGTTATTCACGGAGTAACGTAATAATATTACTGTCTATTATTGTAATATTACTGTGCTTGACGGTAATATTACTGTTGTTATAGTAATATTACTGTCACTCACAGTAATATTAATTCTTTTGGTTTTTTATTATGTTTACATTTGTTGAACGGTCAACATAGTAATATTACTCTATTACACAATAATAATGAGTTTTGTTGTGTTAATATTAATGTGCTAGAGATTAATATAGCAATATTACTATGTAAAATTGTAGTTTAGTTAATTTTACTGTGTTTAACAGTAAGATAGTTAATATTACTGTCAATCACAGCAATATTGTTGTTTAAACGAAAAAAAAAGTTACAGAAAGAAATAAAAGAAGAGAAAAAAAAATAAAAAAAAAGTCAACCCCGGGGACCGGCGAAAAAATCCAGAAGGAAAAAAAAGTTGAAAAGTCAACGCCGGAATCCGGCGGGAAAAAAAATTTTGAAAAAAAAAATTGAAAAAAAAATATTGGGTCAAAATTGAATAATTTGTGAAATTTTGGGTCAAATTGAGGTTAAATAAACTTAAGGATTAAATTGGAGCATATTAAAGTATGAGGGGTTATTTTAGTCCTTTACAAAAATCTGGACCATGTGTGGACTTATTGGTAAATGAGTTTTTTGTCTGGATCTCTTTATGAATAAGTATCCATTGATTGACTTATTTGTAAAGACCCATTTTATTTATGATCTTATAAAAAGTAATCATAACTTATAAGCTCACTCTTCAAAAAATTCAAAAATAAATTCTAAAAATAAGGCGTAACAATTTATAGATGTTTGAGCTTATCAGCTATTGAAAATATTTTTTTCTCACTTTTTTTTTTTTTTGCCAGAAAAGAAGAAATTTTATTCCAAAAAGACACTAAGGAGCCTCGTTAAAAACCTTATCGACCTAGCAATTGTTTGAAATAAACTTGGTCAAACATGACCTTAATTTAAAATCGATCAATACATGCATACGTAGATCATAGAATCGTGCAGTTAGTTATATAATCAAAATATTAGTCATTTAACTCGAAATTAAACATATAAATGGTACAATTGTTATGAATTACGAATAGAAAGATTTCTAGTGTGAAAAAATAAAATCCGTACCTTAGAAAATATGGTCTATTAGTGAGAACTCCCCCTCATTGTTTAATAAGGATGGTCAAACTCCTTTTCACTTATTAGTGGTAGACCCACTCCTTTATATATTCCCAAATTTACCCTCCATCTATTCACTATTCATTACTCACCATTTTAGTGCATTTTTCTTTTTTTTTTCGTTTATTTATAAAAAAATTTAAAAAAAAAGGATTAAAAAAAAATCATTTTTTTTCTTCAGAATTAACTACAATATTTTCGAAAATAACTAAAATATTTCCGAAAACAATTATAATATTTCTGAAATCAGCATTTTCCCTTAATCTACCATTTAATTTTTTTCAATTTCTTTTTATTTCATATTTTTTCATTTAAAATTATCGTAGACATGTACAAAACTGTGGTGTTCAACAAGCTTACCAAAAAATGAAATGGACCGCAAACTTACTAAAAACAACTAAATTTTTTTGTTCATTTTTTTCCGGAATTAACTATTAAAAAGTTGTAAAACAACTACAAAAAATAGTTGTTTTCTAGAGCAAGTTTACCAAAAATAACAACTACAAATTAACGAAATCAACTACAGAAAATCAAAATCAACTATAAAATTCTCAGAATCAATTACTACAAAAATATGAAAACAACTACAATATTATCGAAAGCACAAAGGTATTGAAACTACAAAAAAAAAAAAAAAAAAAAAGACATAGTTTCAGTTCCAGCAAAACTACTATAAAATTGAAGATTGTAAAACAACTACAAGAACCAGTGGTTTTCAAATAGTAGATTAATAATCTGCTACTCTTGGATAATAATCTGCATGCCAAACCTATTAACCTGCAAATCAAACGAGAGTTTGCCCACAATATTCCCAGAAAACCATCCTTCCAATAACATGTCAACACTGAGAAAAGAAATCACCTCACATTCCAATCTAAACAAACAAGGCCACATATTTGCAAAAGAAGAGATATGGCAATTTGTAAAAGAACGAAGATGGAAGTTGGGCGGTCACTCCTTGGCCGCCGCCACCATCATCGATGAAGAGATATTTGAATCTATCTTAATATCACCGGATATTTGAGAATGACGGTGGCAGTCCAGCGCAACAGTGGGGGTCTCTTTGATCGTTTAATGGCTGCAGGGGCGGTGGCGGTCAAGTGCAGCGGCGGGCAGATGGGGAATATAATCGTGGCGGGACAAGGCGGTGCTGGTGGCTGAGGCACAGGGCGGCGGACGCACGATTAAAAGAAATAAGAAAAGAGAGAATGGATTTTGGAAGAGAATGATGAGTTAAGGATTATTTGATAGAGGGGTATATTAGGGAGACCATAATAAATTTTGTTGAAATTTATTTAAGTAAATAAATTGGGGGTTCACTAATATTGGAAAATTGGTGGAATCCATCCTTAGTTATCCATATGAGTGAAGGGGTTCTCACTAATAATCCCTAGAAAATATTCCACATAGATCACATAATTTTACGTAATCGATTACATTAAACACAAATCAAACATTTTCAAGTTTATATTCCGGGTCAATAACCCCGAAATGCACAAACATTTTTTTTTTTTTAATATTTATATAAATATTGTTATCGTATAATAGCTTGCAAACCATACGAGAGATGTAAACCACACTAGGCTAACCATGTGTGACAAGCTCGACCTAGCGACCATTGGCAAGGGGATTCGAACTTGGGTCAATTGACCCAAGCTCTCTTGCTCCAACCGCTAGGCCACCCTTGCGGGTGTAAATATTGAAATTTTAGTTTGGATATATTGTTGTACGTGCAATAAGGATGAAGAGATGATGATGATGTTGAGTTCAAAGAGTAAAAAAGATTTTGATGGTATGTTTGAAAAATTAATGCGGCAGGGAGCATTAATTTCATGTGCGGACAACATTTCAAAACACAAACAGTAGTTGCACTCAAAAGTTGAGTAAATTGCAAAAGGTACCCCTGTGTAATCTCAAACTAGCAAAAACCCCCCTGTGATAAATAAACTAGCAAAAACCCCCCTGTGTTTTTTTTTAAATAGCACACTTGACCCACCACCAATTTAAAGGCTGACCTTGTGTAAATTGACAAAAAAACCCTGTGAAATATCTATTTTTATAGTATTAAACAAGCCCAAATGAGATA